CAGCACCTACCTAACCACAGCAAGCAAGTTTTGACTACTGTGTGACTCTATGCCAAACCAAAACACTGCTATCCAGTTGATCAAACCGTATAGCAACCCTGCATAGAGTTTCTGAGACTGTAAATCTTTATGGGAGCAGACAGCCTCATCTTTCCCCCATAAAGTGGTTGGTAGGTTTGAACCACTAGTCTTTCAGTTAGCAGCTCAATGCTTATATCATGTTTAAAGTCCAGATGTATGAGTCCTCCTACTTTGTTTTTCACTTTTAACATTGCTTAAGGTATTTGAAGCCTCTTGTCATTCCATATAAAGTGGAGGATTAATTTTTCTATTTCTGTAAAGCCTGTTAGAATTTTGGTTACATTTTGTTAGAATTTAGATTGGAATTATGTTGAATGTATAGATTGCTTTGGGAAGTACTGACACCTTATTAATATTAAGCCTTCAAATCCATGTACATGGCATCTTTCCATTTATTTTTCTTGAATCTCTTCAAGTAATATCTTATAGTTTTCATTAGATAAGCCCTTCGCATTCCTGATTAGATTGATTCCTAGGTATTTTATTCTTTCAGATGCTATTATAAACAGATTGTTTCCCTAATTTCCCTTTCAGTTATCCCCGTGCTCGCGTAGTTTATAGGACCCTTTCCTGTCTTAATTATCTTTTACTCTCTCCTTGTATGATGGTTCTCTTGACGCCTCCTTGATCTGGTTTTTGGTTAATAGTATTCAGTGTTTTAAATTTGTTCTTGAGATTATTTCTAAATTTTGGCAGGATGTTCAAGCTCCTTGTGGACATGCTTTGTTATTTTTTTCAACTTGAAATTGCACATGAGCAAATGATGGCCTCTTATATTCAGGCCCGTTTTGTCTTAACTGGTGAGATGGAGCTTTGCCATGGTCTCTTTCCATAGATGCAGTTGATTTGATTCCTGTGAGGGCTGGCTAGAAAGGCCCATATACTTGATCTCAAAGGAAGCCTAATCTGTTAAGAGAGGTAAGCAATGTGCAGGGAGGGCTTGGAGAGTCTTCCGGTAGGCACGAGGCAAGAGGTGGGCTTTGAAAGATGTGGAGACTGGTTAGCAGAATTGACCAGATGGCAGAGGAGACAGAGTTTCTGGCATAGGGCAGACAGTAAAGATCTAAAAATCTCAAAGACCCTCTAGCAGCACTGTGACAACTACAGCAGACTCCACGCCTAGGTGTAAAAGTATTACATTCTATAATAGAATAGTCCAGGGCCTATTATAATAGCTTAAATATATATCAAATGCTGTTGATATGACAGTTAGGCACACAGTATAAATTCAACTTTTCAGTAATCAAATACAACTTCACACTGTCATCCTAAAGTCCTCTCCTAGCTATCCCAGGCCTATGAACGCATCCTTGTTCTTCATCGTATTTTATGCCAAGTCCTCTCCTGCGCCAGGGTTTTTGCATTTATATTCACTTACATTTCCCTCAGTTTGGAACAATATTTATGTTGCAAACCACTTCTGTTGGGGATAATGAGTGAAAGAGGTCTGAGATTAGAAGAGCTGGTAGACTTGGGCTTCCAGCCATAATGTAGTAACAGGCACCAGATTTATTCTTATTCCTTAAATTATTTAAAAAGAAAACATATAAGACAATAGTTTTCAGGCAGTTCAGAAGAATGATAATGACAGAAACGAAATACACAACAGGAGTCTGTCAAGTAGAATCTGATGAAGTGAGAAGACAGAGTTCAGAGGCTGGTGAGAATGACCATAGCTAGAATTTGTAATCTGAGAGAAGAAGAGCAGTGTGCAGATAGAACACCAGTGCTCTGCAGAGACTGATCTTGAGTCTTTGTGGACTGAGCAGTGTACATGTATAAGGAAACCATTCGGGCCTGAAAGAGAGCCATCCACAAGTAGTAAGCACAATCCCTGCAACTCACACAGGGCCAGGAATCATTCATGTTTCCACCAATATGAGATATTGAGTAGAATGAGATACTGAGTAGAAAGGTACTGGCTCAGTAATGGACCAAATTAGTCCAAAACACTATTTGGGGATTAATAAAGTTTAAAAGCAACCCTCTAGAATAGTGTTCTCCCATATAGAGCTTTCTGTGATGATGAAAATATTCTATATCCGCATTGTACAGCACAGTAGTAATATGTGGCTTTTTGATTTTGTCATTTGGCAATTACAAGTAAAGGACTGAATTCTTAATTGTATTTGATTGTACTAGCATGAAATTAAATAGTAACCAGTGGCTACTATTTTGAACAGTGTTGCTCTGATGGATTAGAGATTTAAAAATTAAAAAAAAACACCCAACTACCTGCCATGAAAACAAGCAGGAAAATATGACCCCTAAGCAGGAGGAAAAAAATCAATAAATGGAAATAAATCCAGAAATGACATAAATATCACACACAAGAAATTTGAAACAGCTATTTCTTATTTCCAATAAGGTAGAACAAAACATGAGCATGATCAGGTAAGAAATAGAAGATATATATTTAAAAAATGGATTTTTCATGGATAAAAATAATTTTGGAGATGAATAGGGTAGATGGGATTATAAAAAGGAAAGATGAACTTGAAGAAATTGTAATAACAACCAGCTAGCATCCAGTTAAGAGAAAGAGAAATACACAGAACATCAGTGAGCTGTGGGGCAATAATCAAGTAGTGTTAAAATTCATTCACTTAAGAGTCCTAGATTTATTTTGGTGGGGGTGGGGGGCTAGGAAGGGGACTGTTGGGAGATAAGAAAACTAAGGCAAAACAGATTTTGTGGCAAAGCTTGCAAAATGAAGCAAAAGTGAGGGTATAAAATAGCCTCAGCCTTAGAACTTTGGGACAGTAATCTGTCAGAAGAGAGAGGGCAGTGCTACTATACATGGTTTACTTGGTGAGGGGTCTTCCTGCTCCTTGTGTTTCCATAAAAGGAAGGGATTTTTCACTTCTTTTAGGTTAGAGGATAAGAACAGGGAAATATTTATACCCTGCTTTGCCTGTAAAATGATGCTCCTCTATAATCTTCAGTGATCTACATACATGCTTAAACTTTTGTTATCCACCTTCCTATATTAGTAAGTCTCCATACCTACAACGCTTTAACTCCAACAGATAGTACATTCCTCCCTCTTGCAATAGTGCTATCTGTTGAGAACCTTTGATTTAAGATATTCCTAGTATCTGGAGAGGAAAGAAGAGATTTTACAGTATTCTCGCTAACACAACTTTTCAGGAGGGTTTTTGAAAGTGTTTTTTGGTGACACTGATATTTATTAAGTACATGCAATTTTATGTCAGGCTACAAAATATGCAAAATATGAGAAAATGCAATGGTGCAAATAATAATGAAAAGATCAGAATGGAGATTGGAAAAACATGGCACTTATGTTTGATGTACTTTATTAAGAAGTAAGTTCTAATGAAAATTGTTTATGCTTGTCAATTTTACGCTGTGAGAAAAAAAAGACTCACCTGGCAAAACAGGAAATATTCTTCAAATGTGAACTTAATTTTGGATTGTACAGGCTTATACTATACCCAGGTCATCAGAAGACTGCTGTAAAAATCTATTATCTATTTTCATCTGCAGGAAAAGAATGAATAAAGTCATTGCAAAGGTCAAGACATCTTGGGCGACTTAAAGATGGGAAACAGTAAACATTAAGAAACACTAAGACAGTATTTCAAGTTGGGTTCCAAAATATTGGTAACATACTGCGATGCTCATTCTTTTTACTTAACAGCCCACGTCTCCACTTTAAGGCAATAAACTTTAAGGTAATTCACTGCCATTGAGCCGATTCTGACTCACAGCGACCCTACAGGATAGAACTGCAACTGCAGGTTTTCAAGGTTGTAATTGTTTACAGTATCCGCCTCCCGAGAAGAGCTGGTGGATTCGAACTGCTGACCTTGTGGTTCAGCAGCCCAATGGATAACCCACTTTAAGGTAATAGTTAAGTTGAACGTAGTTAGATGGTCAAAGATAGTATTACACCGCGGGAGTGTTCTCAGACCATAACGGATAGAATAAAATACTAAGTGGGGTTGTACACCCAATTCTTGTTGTTAAACACCAGTTTTGTTTTGTTTTTGAAAGAGGGCTCGCATATGGAGAAGGAATACCGGCCGGGAATCATTTTTCAGTTTTGCCACTTCCCTGACTTGATCCTGTAGGGCTGTCCGGGTCCGTGGGTCCGTAAACTCCCTAGAAGGGATGATGTCGCAGTTCCCGGGGACAGGCTTGCTCTCGCCCATGAAGTTGCAAGCAGGAGGGACCTGTAATCAGATGCTTCCCCGAAACATGAGAGCATACCAATTTCCCAGGACCTGCGAGCAGCTCTTGGATTATAACTGGTGGGTCAAGAACCGTGCCTACAATCCGGTAAATCTGTGTCCGCGAAGCGACAGGGGCTCTAAATTGAGGAAAGGTTGTCCGACGAGGTCCAGCTCTGCGCATGCGCGTTCTGTCCAAGCGCCGCCGCAGGGGGCAGGGAACGAGAAATCCAGCGCGGAAACGAGGGTTTGCAGCTGGTTACTAGGAGACGGGACGCTCAGGCTGGGCGTCTCGGCGCTGCGTGGGCGTGCGCCTGCGCGGCGCAGATGGGCCAGGAAGAGGGCTCTCCTAGGCGCCCTGAAAGGCAGGCCGGTGGCTGTACGCGTCGCTTAGTGCGTGGGTGCACGCACAGGACTTGTAGTTCCCGCGAGAGAGCGTGTTGAGCCTGGTACGCGTGCGCACGGGACGTGGGGCTGCGCGGGACGGAAGCGGAGTGTAGGCACCCGGGAGGTGGAGGACAAGCTCCCCTCAGGTACAGAGCGTGAGGGCGGGGCCGACGGCGGCGCCGGCCGGCGCTAACCGCCCCCGCCTCCTTCCCCCCAGACCCGCCTTCCTCCGCCTCCACTCGGGCAGGGCGGTCGATTTGGGGCCGGGCGGGGAGGAGAAAGGGGCGGAGTATGGAAACGGGGAGGGACCTGGACCCCCAACTGAGGCCGAGGCCCGGCAGACGCAGGGATGAGCTCCGGGGAGGACGGCAGCCCCAGATCCCCAGGGAGGGACCCGGAGCTCCAGGTAGAAGCAATGGGGATACGTCGGGTTTGGGGAAAGCAGCTCCTGGGCTGGAAAGTCTCTGAGAGAGCAGCTGCAAGAGGGCAGGTGTGAGAGGGCAGGTGTGGCGGAGGTTAGAGATGTGGATGACCCTTTAGCGGGGCATTCTCTGCTTGAGCTGCTTGGCAAGAGCGGCCAGAGTTGGGGGAAGATGGATAACCCAAAGCCCTCCAGTAGCAAACTTAGCTCCTGTGCTTGTTTCTCGGGAGTTTCAGGTTGATCCTAGTTCCTATGGTGACCGCTTCGCTTCCTGCCGCAGTTCGCCGCCTGGTTGTTGAGGGGACTGTTTTGTTTAGAAACGCTCTGGAAGTGGAGCTAAGGAATTTGGAGTCAGAAATTTGGGAATTCAACCTGCCTCTTCCTAACTCCCAACCTGTGACTTCTCAGTAAGCCCCTTTCTTTGTAGATTTTGGGGAGCGAAGGACAGAGATTTGCATGAAAATATTATTCTTTCAATAGAAAGAATACACAGGAAAGGCATTGTATACTGGCTTTGTTAAAAAATTTTGGGGACCGAAATTGGACACTTCATGTGGTGACCATGAATCCGGTATCAAATAACTCATAGGAATACACTTTAAAAATAAAGTCAGGAATCAAGGATTCTGGAAAGGCTTTTTAGACGAATACAGGTCTCCGTTGTATGCCTTCTTCCACTCCAGGCCTTGGTACCTCAGGATATTGTTTTTGACTTTCTCTACTAGTTTTAAGAATTTCAAGTACACATTGCTTACCTGTAATGATATAAGCAGAATATCAATGGGTTTGTAACTGGAATAAAATAGGATAGTTATAAAGGTAAGGTATCATATCATTCAGATCTCTCTCCAGTCAAAACAATTCCCATCCCTTCACTCTACGGAACCAAACTAAATGCAATTAAGTTGATTCTAACGCATAGCATCCCTTCACTTCTAACTAGTGGGAGAGCTGGGAAGGCACATTAATAAAATATCTAATTTGAACCCTAAGCCTCAGTAGTATTTAGTGAAAGCTTCTACAATATCTTAAAAATTTTTGTTTTGTTCTCTGAAAAAAAAAAAAATCTCTGTTTATAGCCCAGGATATAATCAAGAGAAGTGATTCGCTGGGCTTTCTGCCTTCTTGTCTGCTTCGGTTCAGTTGCCTAGACCAATGTGTTTTAGGGTAATTTGGTTTAAAAGTTCTCCATATATTAAAATAATAAAAACAACAACCACAACCAAATTCACTTCCAGCAAGTCAGTGCCGACTCATAGGGATCGTATAGGATGGGGTAGAAATGCCCTTGTGAGTTTCTGAAATTGTAATTCTTTATGGGAGTAGAAAGTCCTTTCTTTCTCTATGAAGAGGTCATGAAGGCAGATACGATTCTTCCATTTTCTATCACACACCCTCCTCTCCAGAAGTAGACACTCTTCTGACTTCTATGATGTTCCTTATTGTTTGACTTTTGTTTTAATAGTTTCACCACCTTTTAAACACACACATTGCAGTTTGTTTTGGTTTTGAACTCTTTAGAAATGGAGTTATACAAAGTTTTCTTCTATTTGTGCTTCTTTAAACAACAGTAGGTGTTAAACTTTATCCTCATTGTTGCTTATAGTTTCTTGACAAGCATTCCGCTGTAAGAGTATACAACAGTTTATCCATACTGCTGTTGGTGGACAGGAAGATTTTTTTTAACAGTTGAGGCAATCAAGAACACAACTGTTATGCACCTTTCTATGAGGACTATTTAAAAAAAGGCAAAAACACAATCCTTGTTGACCTTCTATGGAACCAGTTTTCAGAAGCCCATGTAAAGTTCACCAACTTTTTTTATTCTATTAAAAATATTAGTAGACATTTCTGAGCACATATTTGGTGCCAGATATTTCAGCCAACACAGTACTTTTTCACATGATCTTACTTCCTACTTCACTGAAAAAAAAAGTCAAGGCTCTACCAGGTAAGAGCATCCTCAAACTTCTGCCCCTTCTCACCTAACCTTGCTTTTCTCTTTCTGGTCTCAGAGGATAGTGCACATCCTTTCCTTATGTTTTCCTCTTATTACTTTGGGGCCTTTCTTCTTATTTTTAATCGTTTTATTAGGGGCTCATTCAACTCTTATCACAATCCATACATCAGTTGTGTAAAGCATATTTG